TTACCTAGCCCTGATTCCAAACCAACCAAGAGGAGGCATACGAACCACAATCACACCTTCTCGGTTATAGCAGTGGTCACCAGCTCGATTGGGTATTGAGGTGTATTGGGCACCTTGGATGTTTGACCCCGTCAGAAGGGCGTATGATCCGATGAACTGGCCACCAGCCGGAGTGGGAAAAACATGCTTCAAATCAAAAATTGCCCGATATGGAGCAGATATTTCAGTAAAGCGACAGGTTGTTTATAAAGACTAACGATCTGTGGATCCGAGCAACTTGCTTGCCAAATCAAATAGCCCATCACTTTTAAACCGTCTGTTTTAGAAGATTACAAATGAAAAATTGTATAAATTTCATTTTTGTTAATTTCTACGGACTGAAAACAACAAAACTATCTGGACTGAGTGATGCACAAAATCGGATGTCCGATGTTTTCGTGATATAAATCCATAGAGAACTACATAATGAGATGTACGACCTATGTGGCCTTTGAGTTGAGTTATCAAAACGGACTTCCCTGACAAATAATCTAACAGAACAACGACAGACAGATATGTTTGAACAGGACGGGATTGACCTAAATGATTCAGTTGATTAGTCGCATCCAACGAATCAGCAAAACAGAATCGAAAACGATTTCAGGTGAGGGGAAAAACAGTGCAGTAAAAAATTGTTTTCCTTTCACGATCATACGGATATCAAATTTGTTCAACTGGTCACACGTACCGCCGGAATTTTCGAGGTCGAGAGCCAGAACGAGTCCAACTTGTCCCGTTCCCTTCCGGTTCCAGGCCGGATCGTTCGTACAGATCAAGTCCGGGACTGTCTCGTGATCGTAACGCGGTGTTCACGGGCCTTTCTGGTGGCGATATGGAATAGCCAGACTGAGGTGTGCCTTGTGCACTCATACCCACGGGCTTTTCACGTTGATCCCGATAAAAGCCACGATGCTCAGGTGGATCTGAGGGATCACGCAACTGAAACAGTTCCCAGTATAGAAGGGATAAATGAGTAACTATGTCAATGAGCAAGAACGACAGTAATAATGTAAGTTAAGAATCATCACGCCACCCCACCCCACTCTACATCATCACTCCGGAACTAGAAAAGCCTCTTAGCTAGATCCATTCTATTCAGGTAGGTTAAATATCCCTCATCTTTACATGAAGTGTAAATCAAACAATACTTGTTTATCTGCCAAGTAAATAAACCACGTTATGTTCGAAGACCAATTCACTTTGGGAATAACTTCAAGATGAATTATAACTGAGTTGCTTTATTCTGTATACAAATGCTCCCGGGAATTCAATGATTTCTCCCGATGAGCTTTCCGTAGATCTGCAAAACCATAACCTAGTCAAGATGCGGTATCTAACATGTGATAGAAAAACACAAAATTTGGAGTGATGGGTTTGATTACCCAGAACGAAAAAATAGATCAGGAGAAAACAGGAACTTTCCTCTCGAGTTCAACTCTATCCATCCGAAGTTTCAATAAAATTACCCTTCCCTAAATAGAACTGATCTCTAATTTTGCCATACTGGATACTACAGTGAATGTTGTCAACTACTAACGAACTCAACGCTCCGAACAATATGCCACGGATATAATATTAAACAATTACCCATGAGAACACTTCTGTTTAAGTGTGGGAAATCAGTTATCATGGCTCGAGAGAGCAAAATTCATTTTTGCCAGTTAGCCGAGCAAACGCTTCATCACCAGCAGAGGTGAAATATGCAGTGCTTGTGAAGTTTGTCCGGAATAACTCTCGAGTACTGCGGTCCCTGGTTGCCGGGCCATAATAAACCCAATCAAAGAAACGGATAGTGGCAAAAATTATTAGCGGTTTGATATCTTATGTGTTTGATCTCGGGCCTCCGGTGATCGTTTACTCCCAATCATAGAGAACTCCAAAAGCCTTAGTATGGTCGGGGATGAGTGTCTAG